AAATACAATCAGCAAATACAGTCGTACCTTGGTTTTCGAACAGCGTAGTTCCTGAAGGTTTCGGCTCCTGAACGCTGCAAACCCAGAAGTGACTGTTCCAGTTTGTGAACTATTTTTGGAAGCCGAACATCCAATGGGGCTTCCGGGGCTTCTGATTGGCTGCAGGAACTTCCTGCAGCCAACCAGAAGCTGCGATTTAGTTTTCAGAAATTTAGGAAGTTGAACGGACTTCCGGAACAGATTCCAACCGAAACCCTGGCAGTTACTGTAGACAAACTAAGCTAGATGGACACACGTTTTGACTCAGCATGAGCGAGATTCCAACGTTCCCTGCTTTTCCCAACTAGGATTACACACATGTATTTCATTTCCCAAAACTAGGAGGAAAGCGGCTGCAAGAGGGGAGTACAAGGTGTGGTGTGGCAGGTAACGAAAGGTTCTCCAGGTGGCTTCCTGAAAAACTGTGTCCTGCTTCTTAGATGTCAGCAGCAAATCAAGCTTCCAAACCCACATCTCCTCTACCAAGCATCCAGTTCCTCCAGTTGCCACCAGCTTAGGGTTACCAGATGTCCCCGGATTTGCAAATCTGTCCCCGGACAAATTCCGTCCCCGGACTGTCCCCAGATTTGCAAATCTGTCCCTGGGAAACGTGGCAGCGGCAGCCTCAGCAGCCCAGAGCCAACCTGGTAGCACAGGTGGCTCTGGCTGGCTTCAGGAGCTGCTTGCTGCCACCGCCACTGCTGAGGGGGAACCAGGGACATCCGGTGGTACAGATCTCCTGCCTCCTTCCCCCTTTGTTTTGGCAGATCGGGGGAGGCTTGGGAGTCACAGGCAGGCAGCCATTGCCCGGGAGGGGCGCAAGGCATGCAGTTTCTCTGCCAGGCAAGGTGCAAAGACCTTCTTTTGCACCCTGTGATACATAAATACACAGTTTTTTAAAAAAACTGGGAAACCCAGCGACTCCCAAGCCTCCCTTGATCAGTCAAAACAAAGGGGGAAGGGGGAAGGAGATCGGGGGAGGCTCAGGAGTCACTGTTGCCCTGTTTTTAAAAAACTGAGCATTTATGTTTCACAGGGTGCGAAAGAAGGGCTTTCCACCTATATACAATATGCATGTGTGCTTGGGCCCAGAGTCTTTTGCCTCACCATCCCCACTACTGACTTCCTGTTGCTAAAAGCTAAAGGTAAAGGGACCCCTGACCATTAGGTCCAGTTGTGGCCGACTCTGGGGTTGCGGCGCTCATCTCGCTTTATTGGCCGAGGGAGCCGGCGTACAGCTTCCGGGTCATGTGGCCAGCATGACTAAGCTGCTTCTGGCAAACCAGAGCAGCTCACGGAAACACCGTTTACCTTCCCGCCGCAGTGGTACCTATTTATCTACTTGCACTTTGACGTGCTTTCGAACTGCTAGGTTGGCAGGAGCAGGGACCGAGCAACGGGAGCTCACCCCATTGTGGGGATTCGAACTGCCGACCTTCTGATTGGCAAGTCCTAGGCTCTGTGGTTTAACCCACAGCACCACCTGCATCCCTTTTGCCTCACCATCCCCACTACTGACTCCCTGTTGCTACTCAGCTTCAAAAAACCAAATAAACAAATGAACAAGTGTCCCCAGATTCATTAAAAAAAATCTGGTAACCATACACCAGCTGATTTATGGAAAGATCCTGAGCGGACTGCAATGTGTGTGAATTGCAACTGGGTTGTGGGCTGCAGCTTGAGTCTGCTGGATTTCTTGCTCCTTCTCCTTACCGATAGTAGCTCTGCCTCCTTGGCTGACCTCAAGGACTGGAGCAGTGATCTGGAATAATGGCGATCCATCACCAGTGGAGAGCAAGTGGATAGTAAATGTCATCTCAGGGCTTGTATGTTCTCCATCTGAGACTGAAGGGAAAACCATTTAAATGAATTTGCCTTATATATAAGAACCAGCCCTAAAAAACCCCCCACAATTCTCCCCTACCTACTTGCAAATGAAGTAAATGACTCGCTGCAATTCAAAGTGCCAGTTTTGACCTATAGTGTTACAAATGGCCTAGGATTGGGGTATTTGAAATATGGCATCTTAAATGAATTTACATACCTATATGCACCCTATATGCAGGTGGGTGGCTACTAGGAACGGTCTTTTCTGTAGTGGTGCCCTTGCTGTGGAACATCCTCTCCAAACATATTTGCTGCTTCACTGTCCTTTAAATACCAGGTTTACAATACAGTCGCACCTTGGATCCGGAATGCCCCGGAACTTGGACGTTTTGGCTCCTGAACAGCACAAACTTGGAAGTGAGTGTGACCATTCTTTGGAACCCGAATGTCTGCAGCAGGTTCCGTGGGTTCTGATTGGCTGCAGGCGCTTCCTGCAGCCAATCAGAAGCCGTGCATTGGTTTCCGAACGTTTTGGAAGTTGAACAGACTTCCAAACAGATTCCATTCGACTTCCGAGGTACGACTGTAGTTTCATTCACCAAACCCCTCTGGTGGGTTTTAATTGCCGTTGGGTTTGGCTGGATATGGTATACTGCTCCTTTTGGTGTTGCATATTTGTTGATATGTAGTTGTTGTTTTTTACTTTGTTTCCCACCCCCCTTTCAATATTGCTAAGTAAACCACCTTGGACATTAACCTAACGTTAAGGTAGGATATTGTTAAAATCATCATCATCATCATCATCATCATCTAGGATGTGTGTCTCTAAAAATCTACCCTCTCCCCCTTTGTCCTTCATAATAAGCATTTTGCTAGTCTGTGATAACTAATTTACTTTTATGTAAAGGGTTATAATAACTTCAGTAAGTACAGGGTTATAATAACGTCAGTAAAATTTATCCTTGCCCCCCTACCTAGGATTTGCCCCCACCCCCACCCCCCAAAATACCCAAAACTGTCTTCATCATCTGCAGGAAATGAACTAATTCACACTTTTATAGAAAATGCAATCCTCTTAAAAAAACACATAACAACAACTATAATAGCTTCAGTAACTGTTCTGCCCCCTAAAAATAACTGTCTTCCATTATCTGCAGGAAAGTTGCCTATACGTATTAGGTCAAAGCTTTACTTTCTTATTCTGGAAATCCATTATTTTCTGGCAGAACCCAGCTCTGGAATCCTGAGGCCCACTAAACAGCTGCAAAGCACTGTGATAGAATGAGGACATTTGACAGCAGCAAGGTAAATGAGAAGGGTGTGCTTAAGAGCTTTCTCCTGCCTACTGCATGTCCCTGCATCTTCCTCTCCCTAGTTGGAGGTGTGTGAAGAAAAGCAGTTGGGGGAAAGCAACAGGAGGAGGAAGGGTTACGCACCCCCTCACACGATCACTTCTCCCTGCTAATTTCCTTTCACATCCCTTGATCTTTTTTTTCCTTGCTAAGATTGCTAATCATGCTGTTTCACCTTCATCGCAAGCTAGGATTTAATCACTGTTATTTTTAAACTAGCAGGTATTAACAACATACTAAACAAGCTCGCAACACGTTAGAAAATGAACTGCAGGGTGATGTGTACCTGTAAAACGAAAGCTGACAGATTCTGGAAGGCCTAGAGGAAATTAAACACAAAAAGAGAACGTAATTGTTTTCAGCGTGTGGCAAAATACAATGTCGCCTTACCTGACCTACAAAACCACTTCAGCTAGTGAGGCCGATGAGATTTGGTGGGGTGAGGTCCAGAAACAAACTCCCTCCATTTTGAAATAATGAGGATATTAAGAATTTGAGCCAATAGCCCCTTGGATTTCAGCTCATCTTGTAAATAAACAGCTCGCTCCAAGTTGGTCTACCTCCTTTCAGAAGCACTGAACATGTGAGGTCAGTGGGAGAAGGCTCATCAGTCCTACAGTAGGCACTAAAACTCCAGAAAAAATTGTGGGAACTCTTACTACCTGCAGCGTTTGAGCCTAAGCCTTAAATATGCCTGTTTATAGCACACACGCACCTCTCAAAGAACTGTAGTTTACCCATCACAAAGTACATTTCCAAGCATTCTTAGCAAACAACTGTGCCCAGAATTCTTTAAAGAGAGAATGTGCTTAAAATGCATGGTGTGTACGCCTCTCTTAGATCTAGTTGAAGGATAGCTGACCTGTGGCCCTCCATTTGTTGCTGGATTACAACTCTCATCAGCCCTGACTATCAGCCACGAGGGGTGGGTCTGATGGGAGTTGGAGTCCAATATCTGAAGGTCCACAGGCTAGCAACTCTTGAGCTAGCTCCGTGCCCTTCAACCTTAGGTTGAAGGTTAAGCTGGCTGGGGAGGTCGGGAGTTGTAGCTTGACAACATCCGGGACCCTCAGGTCAAAGAACATTGATGCGGCGGAAATATTTTGAAGCATTTCATCTGAAGGCAAACCCAAGAGTACTATCGTTAAGAGTGTATTTAGCGTGGGTGACCTATTCAAGGTCCTACATCTAGAAACAGTCAAGCGGTTTGTGTCTCTTAAACTGCCACATGGGCAAAGTATAGCCCCTGTAGCTTCAATCTCAGGCATTTGCAGACAGAGAAGCAATAGCTGGACAAAAGAAATGGCTTCTATACCTGCTTATGGTGCTGCACTAGGTAAAAGTAAAAGGTAAAGTCAGTTAAGCCCAGTCAAAGGTGACTATGGGGTTGCGGCGCTCATCTCGCTTTCAGGCCGAGGGAACAGGCGTTTGTCCACAGACAGCTTTCCGGGTCATGGGGCCAGCAGGACTAAACCGCTACTGGCGCACGGAGGACCGTGACGAGTGTCAGAGCACACAGAAATGCTGTTTACCTTTCCGCCGCCGTGGTATCTATTTATCTACTTGCACTAGTATGCTTTTGAACTGTTAGGTTGGCAGGAGCTGGGACAGAGCAATGGGAGCTCACCCTTTTGCAGGGATTCGAACCACTGACCTTCCGATCAGCAAGTCCAAGAGGCTCAGTGGTTTAGACCACAGCGCCACCCGCATCCCGCTGCACTGGACGATTTATATGCCTGTTGATAACATATTTCTAAAAATGGGATCCAAATATTGCTGCTTTCTTCCAGAAAGTTCAGTTGGTTAGAGCTTGGTGATGAACGCCAAGGTTGCAGGTTTGATCCCCGCATGGGAGAGCTGTCTATTCCTGCTTTGCAGGGGGGTGGATTAGGGGATTGGTCCTCAGGGTCCCTTCCAACTCTGCAATTTTGTAGAGTGCAACCTAAGACATCCAGCACTAGCAGAGACTAAGGTTGCTTCCAGAAAACCTGTTTATTGAGCATTTCCTCCGATTTGCTACATGAAGCTCTGAGGATGTTGCAGTGAGTGTAATCCCATACTTAATCGTGAATTTTCCCTTCACTTTCCTTATTGCAAAAAGTCTGATTGCGATGGTGAGACGGGACTGTTGCACAAGAGCAACTGACTGTGCCAGTATCCCACCCGACTCTCATGCGTAAATAGCAATAGTCCAGAAGCACCCTAAGGCTTCAATTCTACCTACTCAAATTTACGCTGTGGTCTAAACCACAGAGCCTAGGGCTTGCCGATCAGAAGGTCGGTGGTTCGAGTCCCCGCGACGGGGTGAGCTCCCATTGCTCGGTCCCTGCTCCTGCCAGCTAGCAGTTTGAAAGCACGTCAAAGTGCAAGTAGATAAATAGGTACCGCTCCGGCGGGAAGGTAAACGGCGTTTCCGTGTGCTGCTCTGATTTCACCAGAAGCGGTTTAGTCAAGCTGGCCACATGACCCGGAAGCTGTCTGCGGACAAACGCCAGCTCCCTCGGCCAGTAAAGCGAGATGTGCGCCATTACCCCAGAGTCATTCACGACTGGACTTAACTGTCAGGGGTCCCTTTACCTTTACCTAAGCCCCATTTAGCTCAACAGAAGTAGACACAATTAGGACTGCAACCTTATTCAATCAAGGCTGCAATCCCTATATTGAAAACAAGTCTCGATATAGATGTTATGGATATAACTCCAAGGCATTTTTTTCTCCTCTTCCTACCAGTTCTTGCAGACTGAAAGCTCTGCTTATGATTTTGTAACATTTTGGTTAGCCCTAAAAGGCATTGCTGCAGATTTACAAGGCAAAAATCTCTCTTTCTCTCGCTGTATGTACTATCAGGGTTCCCACGAGGGACCTCTTCGAAACTGAAACATTTTTGGCCATGGACTGCAAAGCTCCAAAACCATTCTGGGATTGGAATAGGCCTTCTAAATGAACATTCATTTATACTTGTCATTTGCCTCTTCCTTGGGACCAGTAAGAACAATTTAAAAGCACATTTTAAAGAAACGAGATATTTAAAAAACGGTAACAACATAATAAATCCACTCATAGCCAGCTTAAGTATGGGAACCAAATCCCAAAGTTAAAAAATGCTGGAAAAAATGCTCAGATGTGTGCTATTGTACGGTTTCAATTCTAGACGTGTGCTGTTGAACAGCTTCCATTCGTTGTCACTGGGGCTTGAGCAGAAGAACTTGCTAGTGAATGGTAAAGGCAAAGGTAAAGGGACCCCTGACCATTAGGTCCAGTCATGACCGACTCTGGGGTTGCGGCGCTCATCTTGCTTTATTGGCCGAGGGAGCTGGCATACAGCTTCTGGGTCATGTGGCCAGCATGACTAAGCCGCTTCTGGCGAACCACAGCAGCGCACGGAAACACCGTTTACCTTCCCGCTGGAATGGTACCTATTTATCTACTTGCACTTTGACATGCTTTTAAACTGCTAGGTGGGCAGGAGCAGGGACAGAGCAACGGGAGCTCACCCCGTTGCGGGGATTCGAACAGCCGACCTTCCGATCGGCAAGTCCTAGGCTCTGTGGTTTAACCCACAGCGCCGTACCCCACCTAGAATCATAGAATCACAGAATTGTAGAGTTGGAATGGACCCCCAAGGTCATCTAGTCCAACCCTCTGCAATGCACAAGAAGAAGAGTTTGGATTTGATATCCCGCCTTTCACTCCCTTTAAGGAGTCTCAAAGCGGCTAACATTCTCCTTTCCCTTCCTCCCCCTCAACAAATACTCTGTGAGTTGAGTGGGGCTGAGAGACTTCAAAGAAGTGTGACTGGCCCAAGGTCACCCAGCAGCTGCATGTGGAGGAGTGGAGACGCGAACCCGGTCCCCCAGATTATGAGACTACCGCTCTTAACCACTACACCACACTGGCTCTCAATGAAGGATTCTTTTTGCCCAATGTGGGGCTTGAACCCACGGCGCTGAGACTACGAGCCTCATGCTCTACCGATTGACCAGTCATCTGATCACAGCCTTCCCCACTATGGTGAGATGTCTTGTATTCCCATCTGAAATATAGTGGTTACTTCTAAATTTGCATGTATATGCAAATTTTATGCAGATCCGTGCTTTCTCTTTTGACCACACCAAGCCTCATTTTTTTCCTATCCGTAAACGGGCATTTTCTCATTTCAGGCCCATTGGGAGAATTGGGTTGTTTGTTTGCTTTGTACTTTCAAAAATGGCAGCTGTTTGCATTGTAATATACCCCCGAGATCTATGTCTCAATGTCCTGCGCTACAAATTATTTGACAGTGTGCCAGGGAGTTTCATGAACTGATAATTTTATGTCCTGGTAAAATCCAATGATTTAGTAATATAATTGCTTTTAGATTTCATTGCCTTGGAACACGCAGTCCAACAAATGAGAGACTGTATATATCATCAGAACTGCCACATATCATTTGGAAAGGCATTATAACGAGCTGATCGCATTGCGGATGGGAAGGATGCTGTTCTAACAAAATGGAAGGAACGTTCGGGACAAGAGGTGCCCATGGTTAATATAATTCCCTTTGAAAATGGAATTTCTCATGCAGAGAACATCAGAACAAGCTCCTCCACCCAGTGTGGACTTCCAATCTCTCTCACAAAGGAAAATTCACAACATGTATCTACGTATTTTTCCTTATCAGAATTCTGTGAAAGGAGCAGCTATGGAAAGAGAGATTTGTGCAAGATTTTGTGTAAGAGACTTTGCAGGTCTTTGAGCCTGAATAAACCCCATATTCAACCCATATTCTGGTTCTCTTAGGGAAGCCATCCCAAATCTGATGCCTCCGGGATACTTTGGATTACAATTCCCATCAGCCCCAGACAGCACGGCCAGTGATGGGAGTTGTATTCCAAACGATCTTAAAGGCACCAGTTTAGAAATGACTGCCCTGGGGCCTAACCGAATGTTACATGGGAAAAAATGGAATTACTGTAATCCCAATAAAAGCTGCTTCAGGAGAGTACGGTTTGGAAGGGGGCAGTCGCAGATTGTACCTTTTCCTGCTCCAAAACACTCATCCCAAAGCTGCTTCCACCCAACCCAAGCACATCTGCAAAGGTAAACAGCCCGTTTAAACACATGGAAAGATTGATTTTGGAGAGGTAACAGGTAGGGAGAGGCCAGCATCTCTGCTCCAATTTGCAATCTCAAATCTCTCAATCTCTCTTTTTTAAAAGCAGCCTGGGCTTGGGCATGTATCAGCTATACAGGGAGGACTATACCACTTTAGGCTGTAAGTGTGGATTACATGCTTAAATACGCTGCAGTGCTGTCATATGGAAAGCTAGGATGCCAAAAACAAGGATTTGTCCTTTCTCACCTTAGCATCTATTGAAGGGGCATCTATTGAAGCCTTGGTCTATACTGCAAGCTATGGCACTGAATGATGACTACAGGAATGTGAAACATGGAGATTCCCCCAAGCAGATATCTGCCTGCCCGTGCTACCCAATTCAATTAGCTTCTTACCAGCAAAGGAGAATTCCATCAGCTCTCTGATATGAGGAGCTGCAGTAGGTGGACGGTACACGATTTTGCCATGGTTAATGTCAGCCTGTGTAAAGTACTTTACCGGGGACAGTGGCTTATCCCTGTGCTCCACAATGCCTGCAGAGAGAGGGAGAGTTTCGTTTTCAACACACAGCATATGTTACAAACATACCTTGTTAGTCTAATAATGCAACATACAGTGCTGATGTCTTTCCTGTATCTCATCCAATAACAACCCAATTAATTGTCAGTTTGTATGAGACTTGAACCAGGAACTCTCTGGTCTGCACACTGCCACCTCTAGTGATGAATACAGACGTCACTGATATCAGTTCTTCTGAGTTTGTAAATATACGCCAGGAGCTTGTAATTGTAACTCAACTACAAGGGGAATAGTGCGTTCCATGAGTTCTTGTTCAGCTCAGATTTTAATCTCACACAGAGAAGAACCGCACCTTCCACTCTCTCCCATCTCCACAGTTAGTCCCTAACATCCAATATCTTTTGGGAAAGCTACATTTCCCAGGTCTACTTGGGCCTGGTGTGTTTGCGCAGCGGTGTGAAAACCTCCCTTTCTAATAAGAATGAAGAGAGCCTAATGGGCATCTCTGCTGTTCCTAAGAGAACAAAATATTTTCCTAACCTCAACCTTGACTTGAGAAGGGCTGACTCATCACGGGGGTCCAAGCTTTCACTATGCCAGCTCTCCAGCTCAATAAATCTAGTTCCGTAAACTCCACAGGAGACAGAATTCACATTAGGCCTTTTGTCACTCCTCATAACACTTCTGCTGCTCTCTGCACACAACCCACCCCCTTTGCTTGACACTTCCATGTTGTTTATATAGCAGTCACTGCAGCCGGGGAAGGCTGCTGATCCTTGGCGCCTTGCCAGAGTCATTTCCGAAATGCCAAGACTGTATCTTGCAGAGTCTCTAGCCTTCTTCCGAAGCATCATACCAGGTGCCAGAAGGGGGGCCTTGATTCAGATGGGCTCTGCTTATCCGTAACACATTTTACAGAAAAATAACTCTGCTTAATCTAAGCCAATCTGATTCGAGCCTAGGAATTTCACCATAAATAAAGGTAAAGGGACCCCTGACCATTAGGTCCAGTCGTGGCTGTCTCTGGGGTTGCAGTGCTCATCTCACTTTATTGGCCAAGGAAGCCGGTGTACAACTTCCGTATCATGTGGCCAGCATGACTAAGCCGCTTCTGGAGAACCAGAGCAGTGCACAGGAATGCTGTTTACCTTCCCGTCAGAGTGGTACCTATTTATCTACTTTGATGTGCTTTCGAACTTTTAAGTTGGCAGGAGCAGGGACCGAGCCATGGGAGCTCACCCCATCGTGGGGATTCGAACCGCCAACCTTCTGATCGGCAAGTCCTAGGCTCTGTGGTTTAAAACCCACAGCACCATCCGCATCCCATAAATAGTGGGTTGCAAAAACAGAGAAAAAGAAGCAATTGTCTCATCCTTAGACTTCACCTGAAGACAGCTCTTTGGTCTTCCCTGAGCTGGCTTAGCTATAAACATTATTCTAGGCCAGCCCTGATTCATTGCTTCTATCCCCCACAATCCATCCCCTCCTTGATGCTTTTTTTGCCAGTCTCCAGGTTTCAACTGTCAATAAAATAGCACAACATCTCCTTTACTAGGTTATCTTGCCTTGATTTGGTGGCAAAGGTACAGTCACATTGTACACGACTTTCTCAGTTGGGCTCTCCGAGTTGACAAAGGAGAGATGATGGGGTTCTATCGGGGTCACACGATCTTCCAGAGCCTGAAAGAAATTAAGAAGTGACAAGCTGAGACCAAGATGCTTAGGTGAGTTACCTCCCCAAAAAACACACCCCATAATGGACAAATTAAGGGAGCAGCTGATAAACGACAGAGATAGGGAGTTATATGTCAGTGTTGGGATTGAGTAACTTGAGTGACTTCAAAACAGAAACCTCATCTATCTGAATGCCTGATGAAGCTAGACTTGACCTCCCTATGTAAGTTATTTAAAGCAGTTTTGACATGGCACTGATCACCTTCCTTCCTGCAGCCAATCTATTCAGAAAGAATTTAGGAAAGCATCACACAGGATCATGATGACGCAGGAAACCATTTTATGAAGGATAGATTGAAAAGCACGGTCCCTCTGCGCGTGGGCACACACATACACCGCCAGAGAGCATGGAGAATCCCATCAGTAAAGCATAATATGTCATTAAATCCTCAAATTCCATAGCAAGCAATTTGCCATAAAACCCCAGAAATGTTCTGAACAACCAATACCGCTATCATTATTTTTTTTGCTTTATAAAAGGATCAAAATCAAGTCACCATAGCATGGCGCAAATAGTCATTCCCACACAGCTGAAAGCTGAGCTGGACAAAATGCTTTTATCTTCAGCTCTTGAAGAGGAACTTCAGATGAGTGACTCGGTGTCAGGGACTGGACTGAGGAGGAATGGTGGGAGTCACACACACACACCCTTTTCCAGGACAGTACTGATTTAGAACAGTGGTTTGCAGAGGGGCATAGTCCAGAGGGGGGAAGCTGGGAAATACTGGGTGAGGAACAGCCAGAAGAGGAAACACCTGGAGAGGGACAGCTGGCTGATTCGGTGTCCTTGGACAGTATTCCTGACCCCCCTTCGCCCAAGACTAGATGGGCTTTGAGAGTGATAGAAAGCCACTTTTGCCCTTCGGAGGAGGTGGAGTTGCGGGCTTCACGGCCCCAGTCCTGCGCGATTGGGGGGATTCCCGGCCGTGTCACCTCCTGGCCAGCTAATTGGCTGGCTCTGGGGGTGTGGCCTGCCTTATTTAAAGCAGGATGTGGCTGGGGATCTCCCTCTTTGCTGCTTACCAGCTGTTCCTGCTTTTCCCACCCTCCCGCCCTTTAAGGTTTTCATTCCTTGACCTTGCTATGGACTTCAGTTGGTCGCCGTTGAGGGGCCTGGTAGGAATTTTTCCACTTGGCAAATTGGCGCCAGCCACTTGGTTTTCGCCTACCTCGTAGCAAATTGTCACAACTTTCTTGGTATTGGCGGTTAGGCATTGATCTGCTTATTTACTACCACCAGTTCCCTGAAGCCTGACATTCGGGCACTCCTGGAGGTGCCAACCAGACCCCATGGAGCTGTTTTTCATGGAACCTGGTGCACTATCAACACCGACTCTGCAGGTAGTGTTATTATACTAATCTTTGGCCCAAGCCCATCTCTCAGAGCCACTTTTGCTTTCAGCTGCTAGCTCCACCCATTTTGCATAATAAGGCAAAATGTCTCATGGGAAATGAGCACTTCAACACGTACAACAATAGCCTCTTGGTGTATAAGTCTGCTGGCTACAGACAGGAGTGCTCCTTGGCCAAATGGTTGTAGCCCAACTGTTTGAACATCAGCTTTGCATGGAGAAGGTCTCAGGTTCAATTCCTGGCATCTCCAGGTGGGGCTGGGAGAGTCTCCAGTCTGAAACCCTGGAGAGACAAGTCAGTGTAAGACCAGGATTTCCCAAACAGAGGTTTTTGGACTACAGTTCCCATTATCCCTGACCACTGGTCCAGCTAGCTAGAGACGATGGGGGTTGTAGTCCAACAACAGCTGGAGACCCAAGTTTGGGAAACCCTGATGCTGGTAATTGTTGTTGTTGTTTAGTCGTTTAGTCGTGTCCGACTCTTCGTGACCCCATGGACCAGAGCATGCCAGGCACTCCTGTCTTCCACTGCCTCCCCCAGTTTGGTCAAACTCATGCTGGTAGCTTCGAGAACATTGTCCAACCAGTGCAGACAATAGTGAATTAGATAGACCACTAGTCTAACTCAATGTAAGGCAGTCTTTTTAGATGACTAATCCACATGGGGTCTGCAATGGGACAGGCAGGGGAAGAAACAATATTTTGCAGCCATTCACTTTAAGTAACCTGAAAATCAGTTTAGGATTGTGTGGAGTTAAGTTACACAACCAGGGATTTGTTTTCATATTTCCTGAACTAACAGTGCAGTCTTATGAATATATCTACTCAGAAGCCCCCTGGAGTTCAATGGTGACCAGATAGCAGATTGCAGCTTTAGTTGCAGAATATTCTTTACCAATGATAAAAAAAAACAACAGAAAAAAACCAGGAAATACAGAGGAGTGACTTCTTTTCACTGTTTATTGCCTTGGGTTGGACTTACGGTCATGTGGAAAGAAGAGCCCAAGGAGATCATGGGGGAATCTGGTGTGTGTGGCAGGATGGCAATGTTGAGCAAGTGCGTCTCCAGGTGGGCTTGTGGGGCGACAGCACTAGAGACCTGCAAATGTGGCAACACAGAAATGAATGAGGATTTTTTTTACACATCATAACAAACAGGTGCAGCGGCTGCCTTCTAAGGTTTATTGCGTAATCTGCGCATCTCCAAAAATTGCCTTAAAAAAACCAAAAACCCTCTGCCTAGTTTCCTACAGGCTAAACACTCATTCTGTGCAGGAAGAACATACAAATAAACCAAGTCTTTTCTCAACAAACACCATTGTTGTGTTGTGTTGTTGCACTCTTCAGAAGATTATTAGGGGTCCCTTGATGACATCAATTACAGTCATACCTCAGGTTAAATGTGCTTCAGGTTGAGCGTTTTCAGGTTACGCTCCGCGGCGACCCGGAAGTAACGGAGCGCATTACTTCCGGGTTTCACCACTCACGCATGCGCAGACGCTCAAAATGATGTCACACGCATGTGCGGAAGCGGTGAATTGAGACCCGCGCACGCGCAGACGTGGGTTGCGTTCGCTTCAGGATGCGAACGGGGCTCCGGAACGGATCCTGTTCACATCCAGAGGTACCACCGTATGAACTTCCCTGCGAGTCAGCTTACCAATTTTCTTCTGCGAAGCACATCAAAAAGGGAGCGTTGGGATGCTCCAGAACACACTCTCCATTCATGTAAGGCAACCATGAGGTCCCAAAGGCTAGGCCAGAATGCCATTCATGAACTGAGAATGCACCTGAGAATGTGCCACAGAATGGCGGACATGCATTCTGGAGAGCAGGAATCCCATGGAAGACCAGAAGTTGATGTGCAAACTATGCTCTGAATTCAGAAAGATTGAGAACCACTGAGAAGTGATATAATAATAATAATAATAATAATAATAATAATAATAATATTGCAGCTCAGAATTTCCAACTGCATTCTCTTGAGCAAGAGAATGGGCTCAGAATGTTGCAGCATGGAATGTCTGTGGGGACATGGAGAATTTCCCTCTTGCGGATGGGAACAGAGAGCCCATGTATTCTGCTCAGTTTTCTGGACTGCAGCCAAATGTTTTATCAATGGAACCATGGGAAACGGCAACATTAAAAAAAAATATTCCAACAAGTAAATAATAAATCCATAAATTGACTTGTGGGATCCGTTTTTATTAGAGGTCACTGGAAGCGCAGTTCCCTGAGTGCTAACAAAAAAATAATTCATCTGCATTTCCTCCGCAGCGCCAACCCCATTCATCAGGAAGCCGGCAGATGGATTATTGTTTTGCGGTAGGACAGAGCTAGCTGTGGCTTCTCTCCCCTGGCACAATTTACCATACAATTATGGCCCCAGCAGCAAGGTGCTACAGCAAGGAAAACAGCACCCCTCAGTCATGCAAAATGCATGCAAGTTAACAGCAACACAGCCATTAAATTAAAGATTAGCTTGTTCAACATCCGGCACTTCAACACTTCCTCATTATCACTTATGTTAATTACCTCAGAAATTACTTTAATTGCCTCCCGAGTGCTACCGTAACTGCTTCTATGCGGTGAGGCAAACGTAGAAAACATGGCACACAAGCATTCGAGTTAGCTTAGCCTTTCAGGAGAGTGTTAAACCTAATGAGAGGGGCCTTGTTGAGAAACACAACTTGGCATTTAAAAAAATAATTCGTATCTTGGGAAAGAGGCCTGATAGTAACACAGTTCTATGCCTGCAGGGACAAGGGCTGGGTGATATATCGATATAACATCTAAATCCATATCGTGATATTGGTTTCATAATTTTTGATCTGGCAATATATCGCGAATATCATGATGTGTGTGTATTTGTGTGCTGTGTAAAAAGCACAATGTGGGGAAAACCGTGAAACCAGCCAGCGCCTCTGCGTAGCTCCATTCTTATTTCAAACATTGTGATATATCAGTATATGCAGGGGTAGGCAAACTAGGGCCCGGGGGCTGGATCCGGCCCAAACACCTTCTAAATCTGGCCCACGGACGGTCCGGGAATCAGCGTGTTTTTACATGAGTAGAATGTGTCCTTTTATTTAAAATGCATCTCTGGGTTATTTGTGGGGCATAGGAATTCGTTCTTTCTTTTTTCAAAATATAGTAAGGCCCCCCACAAGGTCTGAGGGACGGTGGACTGGCCCACGGCTGAAAAAGGTTGCTGACTCCTGAGTATATGGCAAGGTTAGGTTGGTGATGCACCACAATGCTCAAAACCAGATATCACCCAGCCCTAGCAGGGATCTTTGCCAACAACTATGAGGAATCTGACAAGTGCGACTGATGCCATGGCTGAGAAGCAGGCAGGAGAGCAGTTCTGCGAGGGATTAAATAAGCAAGGAGTTTGGTGACGCATAACGTGCCTGGAAGCGAAAGGAGTCGCTCTCCGTCTCGGATCCGGAGTGCCTGTACCAGATCACGCCTTCGTTGATGTCTCGCTGTGTGAACGAGGTGGTTGGTGTGGCTCCTCTTCCGTCAGGCAAAGGCTGCCATACTGGCCCGGGGTCATCTGCTGGCATCGGGACCAGAAACACCACTTCACCTAAAGAAGGAGAGATAAAGAGGGAGATAGCCTTTCTGTTAGATTTCTGTTATGCCACTGTGCAGTTTTTCGAGTCACAAGACTCTGTTTACATTCCAGACTGTTGGAAGTCTCACGGGAGACGGGAGACGGATGTTGATGTTACTGGTTTCCTGTTTCTTTGTTCCGGTTGTTCTCTGACTCTCACAGAGAGCAGATGCATATTCTTTTCTGTCCTGCATAGTTAGAAATAAATGTAGCGATGTAGCACATATTTCCAGCTCTTTCTGCTGTACTCTGCATAAAGAGGAATGTGCCTGAAGCCTCATTAAAGGCTTAGGTCATTAATCACCGTCAGAGGAGGAGAGCCTGATGGAACCCGCAGCTTTTTGCTAAAGGTTGGAAGTATATGGTAGTACCAGCGTTGCAGTCTTTTGAGCACCAGGCAAGAGCATTTTTATTTGCCGTAGCATTTTGTGTTGTTGCCGTTGTCGACAAAAGAGAAAAAGAACGCAGAACTATACTGATACAAAATCTTATACCACTTGTTCTTCTCCCCTTGAAAAGTTAGTTCCACTTATTTTAATGGATGAAAAGGAATTAAAAAGCACAACGTTATCATAGCTCAGTTGGTAGAGCATGAGATTCTTAATCTCAGGGTTGTGGGTTCGAGCTGGACTAGATGACCCTGGGGATCCCTTCCAATTCTATGTGTGCTCTATATATTCCCCTCATTCTAAAGGCTGGTGTATAATGCTCATCTTTCTATACATTTCTTTGTTTTCTAACAAGTCAGTTTAGTTAACCGCTCTGGCATTGCAAGGGGTTTTTGTTGCCTCTCTGTCTACTTTTAAGTTTTTACACCCTTTCCTATTGCCTCTCGGTCTGCAAATGGCTATGATTGCAATGGGTTTTTGTGTTTCATCTGAATAATTTTTTTATGTACACTGCCCTGGAATCCACTGAATGGAAGGGGGGAGTTTAGAAATATTTCAAACAACCGAGAAAAGGAGAAAAGCGCCCGCAGGACATGTTCACGCCTTGCTGGATTTCAAGGCCTGCCTTGCAAGGAACGCCGGCTGAAGCATCCTACATTAATCCTTTGTAACATGCACATCTAACAAATATACTGATCTCTACAAAAACACCAGATGTTACTTATGCTCTCTCTTCCAATGAAAGAGGACTTTTCGAAGGCAGTCCCAGGGAAGCGAGACGATAGTTAAGCAAATCCAAGGGCAGCTTCAGACAATGCAGATGAGCAGTAGCAGCTGAATAGGCAATAATTGCAAGCCCCACACATTTGAATATGGGAGGTGGGGGGACAATCGGACACCAAAAGGGCGACCATCTTCAGGCCCTGTTGGTGGGCTTCCCAGAAGCAACTAACCCAACCGGCCACTGTAGGAAACAAGACAGGAAACCTTTTCATTTGATCCCGCAAAGCTCCTCTTACATTCTTGTCACTGCGGGATGGAGATGCAAAACATCTCCTGCTCATGATGTGGGAAAACATGACCAGCCAAAGGCATAAAAGAAGGTGCATTCGCTCTACAATTCTTCCCCAAAAGGTTGTGGAGCAGCCTGGTTATCTGGCTGAGAGCTGGATTTAACAAAATAAAAAAAATTCCCTCCAGTAGCACCTTAGAGACCAACCTTAGAGACCAAGTTTGTTATTGGTATGAGCTTTTGTGTGCATGCACACTTCTTCAGATACAGGTATCTTCAGATACAGGTATCGTGTGTACGCACACTTCTTCAGGTATCTGAAGCGGGTGGCGCTGTGGGTAAAACCACAGAGCCTAGGACCTGCCGATCAGAAGGCCGGCGGTTCGAATCCCCGTGACGGGGTGAGCTCCCGTTGCTCGGTCCCTGCTCCTGCCAACCTAGCAGTTCGAAAGCACGTCAAAGTGCCAGTAGATAAATAGGCACCGCTCCGGCGGGAAGTTCAGGGGATGTGAGTCATGGGTTATGCAGACAAAATGGCATCACCTGAACACTGGAGGGAAATATCAGCAGACCCTGCAGATTTGCAGAAGTACGTAGAATCATAGAATTGAGGAGTTGGCCTACTTGGGAGGAGGCTCAGTTGAGGAATAGGAATGGGTGGCCTAACTGCACAGAACCTCTCAGCCTCTGCCAGGCCTTTGCTGGAATGAATTGTTCTCAGGAGGTTTCTCTCAGCCAGCTGCCGTACTTCCAGCCTCGGCTCCCACCTGTCTATATTTACAGCACTTGTGTCTGGTCCTGACTGAGCCCACTTCAGCTCTGAGGTTGTCTTCAGAGAGCACCTGCTTGGCATGCAGAAGGTACCAGCATCTTCAGGTAGGGCAGGGAGAGAACACTGCCTGAAATCGCAGGCAGCCACTGCCAGTCTGTGTTGACATTACAGAGCTAGATGGACCCAATGGTCCGTATAAGGCAACTTCTGTGCCACAGTTCCTGCTTCTATGCTAATAATAATACAAATAATAATAATATTTGTATGCCGTGCATCTGACTAGGTTGCCCAAGCCATTCTGGGCAGCTCCCAAGAGAGTTTTGAAAACACAATAAAACACCAGACGTTAAAAAACTTCCCTATACAGGGCTGTCTTCAGATAATTGTTTATTTCCTTGACATATGATGGGAGGGCGTTCCACAGGGCAGGTGCCACTACCAAAAAGGCCCTCTGCCTGGTTCCCTATAACTTCACTTCTTGAGGGAGGGAACCACCAGAAGGCCCTCAGAGCTGGAGCTCAGTGTCCTGGATGAACGTTGGTGGTTGAGATGCTCCTTCACGAATACAGGTTATACTAGTATGCTAAGCCCTTGCTTTCTCCTCAGCCGGCTCGGACCTCAGGAAGCAGAACCGACCTCTCAGACGCTCATGCTGAGGCTGTTCCATTTTGTATTTATGAGGCCAGAGAGGGCTCAGCAACACCGGAAGCTTTGTAAAACCTGCACTCCTCCAGCATTATTACAGACGTTGGGACAACTCTCAACAGAAATCCTATCACGCTGACAATAATATTGGGATTCAATATTAGCGCCGCTGCCTGCAGCTGTCCTCTGGGTTGCTGATGGGACACAGCCACTGAGGCCTGTAATCTATTTTGACACCAGAGTTACAGATTCCATTACGCTGACAGTTTGGAGGCCGCTGTCTCGCAGCCTGTGTTTGTGCTCCTGACAGATCGAGTCCCATCGGGGCTTCTGCGATGTCTATTTAATATCTAACTGCTGAATTATTTAAAATGCATACATCTCAATTAAATAAACCCACACACCAAGCCAATCTGGCATGTAATTGATACTTCCTCTGCCCTTCCAGCCTTTGTGAAATCACACTGCGGTAGCTAAATTTAGCTCGAATCATTGCCGAGGATGTGGGAGGGACATTGACCGATAGTAATAATGATGATCTCTCTCTTTCTCTATTGTAAGACTTGGGGGAGTTGGCGAAGAGAAGCTTACTGGAGCCAGAAGTGTTGTTGGTTGCCTTAATGGTCGTCGTGTAGTGGGCAAACCTCTCCCTTGTTAGATAAATAACACAAAATGACAAGGAAATAGTTGCAGGAAATAGAAGACTCCACTGAAAGGGCTGTAGCTCAGCAAAAGAGCACACTTTCCCATGTGGACAGTCTCAAGGTTCAGTCTCCAGCTTCTCCAAATAGATCATGGAAAAACTTTTATCTTAAGTTTAAAGGTTTTTCCACGCCCTACCAGAGAGGAATGGCAGATCAAGTTGATGGTTATGCCGAAATGGCTGAAATGACCGGAAGAATAAGAAGTCAGGAAGACCGAAATTTTAATAAGGAATGGGGGGAATTTATCATTCATCTTAAAAACCATTGTAAACAGTTAAAATCGTTAGCAGGATTGGAATAACACTTGTAGTTAAATGGTAGATTTCGGACACAATGGAGAGGTAAAAGATTTGGATTATTATAAAAGGTGCAGGAGGAAATGATTAGGACCCACAAAGGGGAGGAGGGATGTCCAGGAGATTCTCTGGAATCTTGTTTCTACCTTTATCTGAAACTCTGGAGAGCCACTTCCATGGTTTAGACCAGAGATGGGCAACCTTTTTGGTCCTGTGGGTTGCCTGCCATGCTTTTTAGAAAAAGCATGCCCTTGCTATCTGTCTGTCTGTCTGTCTCTCACTCATACACGGTAATGTTTCTCCTAAGATGGTACCTTGCTGACATATTTGGCATAAAAACAAGTGGGTGGTGTTAAGTTTTGCTCAGGGTAGATCTATTGGGTCTAAAACTGGTTACACATCCCAGCATTCAAATTTCTACAGCATCATGAAGCTTTCAGGTTGGGCCAACTGAATTCTCTCTCTCAGCTGAGCCTAACCCCACAGTTGTGAGGTTAAAGTAAAGATAAAGGTACCCTTGACCGTTAGGTCCAGTCGCAGACGACTCTGGGGTTGTGGCGATCATCTCGCTCCATAGGCTGAGGGAGTCAGCGTTTGTCCGCAGACAGCTTCCAGGTCATGCGGCCAGCATGACTAAGCTGCTTCTGGCGAACCAGAGCAGAACACGGAAAGGCCGTTTACCTTCCCGCCGGAGTGGTACCTATTGATCTACTTGCACTTTGACGTGCTTTCAAACTGCTAGGTGGGCAGGAGCTGGGACCGAGCAATGGGAGCTCACCCTGTCACAGGGATTCGAACCGTTGACCTTCTGATTGGCAAGCCCTAGGCTCTGTGGTTTAGACCAGAGTGCCACGTGCGCCACTCTCAGCTGAGCCTAACTCACAGGGTTGTTGTGAGGTTAAATTAGCCCGCATCAATGCACACCGTCCCAAGCTCTGTTGAGAAGAGGTGGGGATACCAATGTAAACTTCAGCAAACCATCTTCTGCTTCACATCTAATTTAAATGGGCCATCTCTAGAGACCTCCCAACATGCTGGGAAAAGGGGGCATCTGGGGGGATGTCTATAGGCCCCACATTATTTTTAAAAAACCCTGCTTTCTGTGCTTCCCTAAAGTTTATTTATTTAATAAGAGCCAGCATGGTGTAGTGGTTAAGAGCGGTGGACTTGTAATCTGGGGAACCGGATTCACGTCTCTGCTCCTCCACATGCAGCTGCTGGGTGACCTTGGGCCAGTCACACTTCTCTGAAGTCTCTCAGCCCCACTCACCTCACAGAGTGTTTGTTGTGGGGGAGGAAGGGAAAGGAGAATGTTAGCCGCTTTGAGACCCCTTAAAGGGAGTGAAAGGCGGGATATCAAATCCAAACTCTTCTTCTTCTTCTTCTTAATTCTTAAAAAGAATGTATCACAGGAAAAAAGTAAAACCTAAGTATTTCTGATAACTTCCAAGTTCAGGGCTTTTCATCTACTTACTCCTGTCCTGAAGCAATAACTTCCCTTGTTTGTGTCATCAATTAGTTGTCGAGGAGATAATTGGGACGATACAAGGAGAGGAATTATAACTTCAGAAAGAGAACAGGCTCTGGGAAAATAAGAACCCCTGAGGATAAGATTGCTGTCTTTTACAATAATGCTTCTCGTTCATACTAATTAGCAGAGAGACCCCATCAACAGCATAAGGCCTCTGCTAAAGTCACTGTGACTGCGGCGGTTTTATACGTGAGCTCTCTCTCTGCCAGCCATTGCTTTAAACGGCATCTGGTTTGATACACACACACACACATATATATATATATATATATACACACACAGCAAGAAAAC